AAAAGTTGTCCTTGAGTCAATTCCATCTCACAGCAACTCCATGTGTGTCAGGGTTTTCCATGGCTGATTTTTCGGAAGTAGGTCATCAGGCCTTCCTTCCAAGATGCCTCTGGGTAGACTGAAATAACCAATATTTTGGTTAACAGCTAACCGTGCTAACAATTTCCACCACCCAGGGAGTCCATAGCTATCCCTTATTGAGCACTTAGTACATTTCAGGCTCTTTATGAAGAGATTTTAGGATTCCTTAGTCCTCAATAGGAGCTCTGATGCCATAGCACTGGGCTGCTAACCAGAAGGTTGGCTGTTCAAACCCACCAGTTTCTCCATAGGAGAAAGATGAGGTAGTCTGCTTTGGTAAAGATTTACAGCCTTGGGAACCTGATGGGGCAGTTCTAGTATGTCCTAAAGTGTTACTGTGAGTTGAAATTGACTTGATGGCAGTGGGTTTGGTTTTGCTTTTAGTCCTTAATATATTGTTCCTATTTATAATTAGCCCCATTTTGATGTGTGTGAAAGAGAAGGCACAAGGGCATTAAGAAATTGTTCAAAGCCCCATATCTAGTAAGTGGCAGACCTGGAAGCCACAACTGTCTGATTCTAGAGCTTTTACTCTGAACCTTAGCTAGTATTCAATATATTGCACCCATGCTTTTGCCCTCAGGCTTTGCTTTATACACCAAAAAAGAGACTTCTGGAAAAGAAATAAGGGAAACAATACCATTTATAATAGCTGCTAAAAAGGTAAAATATCTAGGAATAAATCTTACCAGAGACACTAAAGACCTATAAAAAGAAAACTATAAAACGCTACTAAAGGAGACAACAAGGGCTCTACATAAATGGAAGAACCTGTCTTGTTCATGGATAGGTAGACTGAATATTGTGAAAAGTCAATACTACCTAAAGCAATCTACACATTTAACGCAACCCTGATCCAGATATCGACAAATTTTTTTAAGGACATGGGATAACCAATTACTAACTTCATATAGAAAGAAAAGAGACCTCAGATAAGCAGAACACTTCTGAAGAGGAAGAACAAAGTGGGAAGTCTCACACTCCCAGATCTTAAAACCTACTATACAGCCACAGTAGTCAAAACAGTGTGGTATTGGTACAATGATAGACAGATTGACCAATGGAACAGAATTGAAAACCCAGAAATAGACCCATCCATCTATGGACAGTTGATCTTTGACAAAGATCCAAAACCCATTAAATGGTGGAAGAGACAGCCCCTTTAACAAATGTTGCTGCAAAACTGGATGTCCACTTGCAGGAAAATGAAACAAGACCCATATCTCACCCCACACACAAAAAACAAACTCAAGCTGGATCAAAGACTTAAATGTAAAACTCAAAACTATACAATTCATCAAAGATAAAAGAAGGGGAAATACAGGATCACTAATTTATGGCATAAATAGACTATCAAATATAACCCAGAATGCACAGGAGGTGGAAGAGAAGCTAGATGACTGGGACCTTTTAAAAATTAAATTCTTATGCAGATCAAAAGAATTCATCAAAAGGGTAAAAAGAGAACCTACAGATTGGGAGGAAATTTTTGCCTGTGACATATCTGACAAAGGACTTATCTCCAAAATCTATAGAAAACTTCGACACCCAACACCAAAAAGATGAACAATGCATTTAAAAAATGGGCAAAAGACTTAAACAGACACTTCCGTAAAGATGATATCCTGGTGGCCAACAAACACCTGAGGAATTGCTCGTGATCTTTAGTCATTAAAGAGATGCAAATCAAAACAACGATGAGATATCATTTCACCTCAGCAATAATAGCAAAGTTCAGAAAATAACAAATGCTGGCAAGGTTGTGGAAAGATTGGAACTCTTGTGCATTGCTGGTGGGATTGTAAAATGGTGCAACCATTGTTGCAAAAAGCATGGCGTTTCCTTAAAGAACTGAGAATGGAAATACCATTTGACTCAGCAACTCCATTACTAGGAATATATCCTAAAGAGGTGAGAGGCAGGGCATGAACAGATATATGCACACCTATGTTCATCACAGCACAATTCACTATAGCAAAGAGGTAGAAACAACCTAAATGGTCATCAACGGATGAGTGGATAACCAAATTATGGTATGCTCACACAATGGAATACTATGCTACATTAAAGAACAATGAAAGATACATGAATCATCTTACAACATGGATGAACCTGGAGGACATTATGCTGAGTGAAGTAAGTCAATCACAGGACAAATACTGTATGAGCCCATTACTGTAAAAAGACAAAAGAAGGGTTTGCTTAAGAAAGGGAACTCACTTTGTAGGTTACTGGGGTAGGGAGGGAAGGAGAGGGATTAATTTCAGGCTAGTTGGGGGCCACACAATGACGTGGGTAAGGGGAGGGATGGTATAGAAAGAGTCTGTGACCACAATGATAACATTTGGAAAAGGGAGATCAGCAAATTGTGCATATAAGATACAGATGACAGACGCTAATACCAACCAGTATTACCACAATACAGCATCACCATTAACACCAAACACCAGGCTACAGATAAACACATAAACATCTGAGAAGATCAGATGGGGGTCAGTGAACAGGATTATAATCTAGACCAAGGATAGATTCAGCTGAAGCTAATCTTGCACAGATACCAGTGATACAAAATACCGGCAATCCTTACAGAAACAACAGAAGACAGTCATAGAGTAATCCCTCACAGACAGCCAGAAACCATGGGAGAGAGATTCAATGCATCTACCGAGTCAGGAGCATAGTACCGGGGAACACCAGACTCAATTGGCACAAAAAATATATAAAAGTCTTTTTCCTCATCCTACATTGGTGAGTAGTGACTGGGGTCTTAAAAGCTTTCAAGCAGCCATCTAAGATGCAGCTAATGGTCTCCTATTGTCAGAAGCGAAGAAGAGTGCAAAAAACAAGGGCATTTGGAAACAATCCACCCTAGGACATGATGGACCTCCAGACCAGAAGGACTAGATGGTGCCCAGCTACCAATGCCAACCACTCAGGAAAGGATCAAAACTGGAGATCCTGGATAGAGTGGGAGGAAAAACATGGAACAAAATCCAAAAACACAATAACGACCAGAATTACTGGTCAGATGGAGTCTGTTGAGACCCCCAATACTATGGCCCTGGGAAACATTTTGGGTCTGGAATAAAACTCACTCCCAGGGGCTGGCTCTCATCCCAATAGTAAACAAGATGTACACACAGACCACTCAACTCAGGGTGACACACCCACATACTCTATGGAGATGCGTGCCTTGGAGCAATTGACCACGGAGCACCAGAGGGGCAACATTAGCAAGGAGGAAATGCAGGACACACAGGAGTGCATAACTATGAGGGGCACGGTGTGTGTGTGTGTTATTGGGCAGGGAGGGGAGGACACTGGGTTAGGGTTGGGGATGGTAAATGGGGAGAAAGAAAAAAAAGAAAGATTAAAAATATTGCCAATTTTCTGAAAGGAAGGGGCTTTAAGGAATGGAATTCCTTAACTGGATGTTAACAAATATTGGAGTCCATTTCCTGCTTTGGGAAGCACAAAGGCAAGTCAAGCCCAAAGCACATGATCACTTTTTCCTCCTTTTACTCAACCACATCATTAGTTTCAGCTTTTGCATTTTCCCCAGGACCTGGTTCTCTTCCTTGGCATTCCCATTAAAAAGGACTTCCTATTTTTCTCTAGGAGCTCTGATGTCCTCTGAAAGTCTCTCATTTTATCATTCCTTATCAGTTCTCTCTTTTGGAAATGCTACATCCTATAGCAAAGAGTATTTTCCGCCCTCTAGAATTTTTGCGTTATCTAAAGAGCCAATCACTAGAAGAAAACCAAAAAACCAAACTCACTGCCTTCAAGTTGATTCTGACTCAAAGTAACCCCTCCTTGGGTTTCCGAGGCACTATTGCTAGTGAAGTAGATTGCCCAATCTTCCTTCTCAGGAGTGGCTGGTGGGTTGGAACCACCAGTTTTCTGGTTAGTAGTCAAATGCTTTTAGCACTACACCACCAGAGCTCCCTACATAACCAGACCAAACCCAACCCACTGCCATTAGGTCAATTCCAATTCATAGTGAGCCTAAGGACAGAGTAGGACTGCCCCATAGGGTTTCCAAAGAGTAGAACAACCTCATAGGATTTACTGAAGCAGACTGCCTTATCTCTCTCATGCAGCAGGTGGTCCCATGGACTTCCTCCATGGACTTTAGCATCTTACATCTCAACTTAATTGTGGAATGAGAGGCTTTGTTCCCTATTGAGGAACTGTTCCCTGTTGAACTGCTGACCTTGTGGTTAGCAGCTGAATATCTTTAACCACTGAGCCACCAGAGCTCCTTGGTATAGTAGAGAGTCAGCTAAAATGACGGAAATCTTCAATGAGATGGAATGACACAATAGCTGTACAATGGGTTCAAACATATTATGAAGATAGGTCAGAAGTGGACAATGTTTTGTTCTGTAGTACATAAAGTTAGCATGAGTCAGAGCCAATTCTATAGAACTAATAACAATAACAAAATACCTCTTACATTACTATTCCATCTGGAACTTAATTGACTCACCTTTTCAGATAATACCTCGATCATTTTCTATTCTGTAATCTAAAGTAAAGTAGTCCCCAATTTGGGGAAGAATGCTTTCTGATGTTTATGAGTTGTCCATACCTTACAGGTAACCGAGGGCTTCTCTTTGAAGTTGGAGATGCTGCTGAGGGCTTGGACCTGACTGAAGCCACCTCTGGGTATAGGTGGCAGATTGTCCCCAATGCTAGTTCTCCATCTGGATTTTGGTCAAAGGAAGGAAAACCTTTCAGGTATGTTGTAGTTCCCAGGAAAAGTGGGGATTCCATAGCAAAAGCATCTTTGCTAGCCTAGGTCAGATGAGGATATGGATAAGTAAAGTAGTGAGATTTCCAAGGGAGCATTTATAACACCAGCCAATTCAACAACACAGTTTGATCAGTGTTCTCAGCTGATATTGGACCACGATGCTAGTGCATCACACACTTTTATAGGTATATCCCCCAAATTTGATCAATTTGTAAAGTTTATATTTTCTTCAACTTGACTTATAATCTGCTTCAGAGATGATTGTCAGTTTGAATACTGAGCTGAGAAGGTAGGCCAGGAGACTTCGTAGACAGCAGTGTAAAACTTGCTGCAGGTTGTATGGTTAGGGGTAAAGCTAACATCTTGCTGATGCCCACAGAAGATACAAAATTTGCCCTTTGGGCATATAAGAGAGCAAAGGCTGAACAGCAAGTACTATTGGAACAATCACCTGGTGCTGAAGGTCAATTCAATGATTGTGGGAAATTCTTATGGATTCTGAGAGACACTGTTTTCTGTTACAGTGACTGTATTGTGATTATGGTTTCTGTTTAGTGTTGTTTTGAATCTTTATGATGTGGTTGAAATTTCTAGTATTTTAAAGTGAGCTTAAAAATATAGAACATTTGAGAATTGCACAGGCACACTGTTCCCTTTGTGTGCTCTCAGTGTTTATATACAGGGAGGGATCCTTTACTGTGCAAGTAATCTTCTCTTTTCAAAACCTTTCTTTGAAATCTTTCAAAATCAAACCAGGTTTGATGTTGGTCACCACCCCTCCGTGTAAATTTCAGGACATCTGTGACCTCCTCCATGGAGTTTTGCATCTTGCATCTCAACTAAATTGTGGAATGAAAGGCTTTGTTCCCTGTGGAGGGAATTTCAGGTGATGAAGAAACAAAGTAGGGAAGGTATTCTGCAAACTTCAGGAACAGTGTGTCTATTGTCCCTTCTGTCTTATAAGCTAGGTGCTGCATCCAGCCTCTGGCTGCACTTATAAGGATGTTTAACTACCAGTTCATGGTTTTAAAGTGGTAGTAACTTGTGGTCCTTTGTAGCACCTAAGAATATACCCTTATCATAGCTTTAAGAAGCCCTTGTAGTGCTACAGTTAAGAGCTTCGTTGTTAATGATGGAAAGATTGGCATTTCTAGGCGTTGTTCTAACCATTGTACATGAAGGCATTTTTATTTAATTCTCAAAATAAACTTATCACTTGGGACAGTTATTATCTCCATTATACAAACAAGGCAGGAAAACTTAGGGGATTTTCTCAATGCCATGAAAAAAGTGATTGGGAACAAGTGAGAGTTGGCAATGGCTGTGTACACAGGAGGTTGGTTAAGTGCTTGGCTACTAAGTACGAGGTTGACGATTAAACTCCCCCCCCAGAAGCTTGGTGGAAGAAAGACCTGGTGGTCTGTTCCTATAAAGATTATAGACAAGAAAATCCTATGGGGCAATTCTACTCTGTCACATGGGGTTGCTGTATCGAAATCCCCTCGATAGCACCAAACAACATCATAGCTTTTGAAGACCATTGATAATATTCAAATGGAAAACTTTCAGCTATATTTAGTGTGTGGGGATCGTTAAGGAGAGAGTTAGAGCACTTCAAATGATAAAAGCAAACAAACAAAAAATGAACAAAAACCGTTTTCTCTATGACCTGCAGGGTGTCTTCCTTTAATCAACATTTTGAGAAGTCACAAAGCAGACAGCAACTCTTTTTCCATTTTCTTTCTCATTTGTTCGCTTAAAATTTAAAATTTTAACTTAAGAAAACTAGAGTATTTATTTTTTGATTAATTAATCAGTTTTATTACATTGATTAACTTTTCAAATAGTTCTTTTCAAAAACTATTTTAAAAATGAAAATTCTTTCCAAAGATGAAAATAACATCTACATGTACATTAAAGCAAAATAATAATTAAAAAAGCTCTTTATATAAATGATTAGAAGATTAAAAAAAATAACATAAGCAGAAAATACTTTTGGTTTATTTCTTCAAGCACTTAAATCAGGAAGATATTTTGGTGAAATCTGTCTCTAATACTGTGTCACTAGAATTGATTTTAAATGTAAAAAAATATGATCTTATTTATAAAATGTTTCATAAAGTTTCCTGAAATCTTCCTCAAAGTTGCATTTTTTGGCTTTTAAATTTGCAATTGTTAACATCTTCAGTCAATTCTTCTCCATGGTCCATAATATTTTTAATTCAGAAAGCACTCTCTGCAGGTATTGAGGTCTCTGTTAAGCTCAGAGCAGGTTTTGCTTGGCAATTTCTCTTCATTTCTAATAATAAGAAAAATATTTAGCATAGTGCCTAAGGCACTTGACTGCTAACCAGAAGGCTGGCGGTTCAAACCCACCAGCCACTCCTCGGAAGGAAGGTTGGGCAATGCTACTTC